GGTTTACGAAGAGGAAGGTTGAAAGGAAACTTGCCAAAATGTGTGGATGTGAGGGATGAAGCTGGTGAAGAGGACCCACCCCTGGGGCTACAGCTGGATTCATGCACTGGTGGTTACTGCCCACTCCCAGCTGCTCCCAGCTTCCTGACCAGTTTCAAGTGTAATAAATTAGATTTGTACACATCTAACACTAAATCACCAAAGCTACAGACATGAAGGCACGTTAAGATTCTTTCAATCCATATTCCCAGAAGAATGTGCACTGCATTAAATACACAGGAATAGAGAAGAATCCTCCCAGGCTCTGTCTTTTGTACCACTTACAGTTTAATTCTGCTTTCTGCCCCTCTCTGTCCACTTAACCTGGAAAAAAATTGTAATGCCCTCATCTTGCTACCAGGAACCGCCTTTTTACCTCTAAGAAAAATATTGTTACTGTTCATTTGAGTTACCAGCCTCAGATCTCAAACTCTATGGCTACTGTAGATTTAGTCTGGTTGCTTATGTGAGAGTGACATCACGTTCACAAGAGGCATGGCAGTTTTCACACCCCACTTCAGTATGCTTTCCAGTCTGGTTCTTACTGTGGGATAATGAAAAGCCTGATTTTTCCCTTTTGCTGCTTTTCCCTTCCTCTCCTTCTCTCCTTCAAAGCATTTATTACCTGGCCTGCATGCAGACACAACAAAATAAAAATAGAACTAAAAGAGAATATGACAAACTGTCACTCCATTTTTTTTCCACTTTTTAAATTCTAATGTATCTCATTTATCCTTACCATTTTAATCTATCTCATTTCAGCTATAACTGCTTACTGTTAAGTATAAGTTAATTGTCTTCTACATTCCATATATGAAAATAAATGCCAGGGCCTTTTTCAAAATATTATTTCTCTTCTAAAATCTTTAATTCACCCTTGCTAGAAGAGACATTCCTTTGCTGTAATAGCCCACTGACGTTTTGCATGACAAGTTTTTACAAAGTACAGTGGGGCAAAATGTTAAGTTTGGGTTTTATTTGTTCTTTTCAACTAAGGAAAAACTTCTGGCTGCTTTTTAATTAGAAGGCAATCGAAGTTTTTGTCTTACGATCTAATAAAAAATTACCCCAAACAATTTGTAACAGTCCTTAAAAACTTTAATTAATTTCTCTTGTCGCTTTGTGAGACTCGGTAAATATGTGGGGTCATGATAATTAATACTGATTCTGATTTATGAGGATTGTCTGATAATTATTTCAATACTCTGAAGATTTGGGTGAAAACCTAAATTGGTGGGTGTTTTCCTTTAAAGAAGAGAATGGCAGGGGTTAAGAAACCTGTGAAAAAAAAAAAGGAAAAACACTCAACAATCTGTGTCCAAATATTTACAGGTAATGTTGAGGCTGAAGCATTCCGTTCACACAGGACAGATTTCCATATTAATCAATTTATTTGGGGAGAATGAAGGTTTCAGCTGTCTCTATTAACGTTTAAGTAGCCTACAACACATATTAGTGTACCTATACCTCTTTGACTTTTTTCCCCTACGACTCTGTTTCTGACTTCTGTAAGTCTTAAAGAATAATAGTATATGTTACAGTAACTGACAAAGCGTTAAACTAACAGTTTATCCGGAATTTATATACATTAACTAGGCTTTGGAAGCCTCACTTTATAAACAGAAACTATTGGTAAAAATATAAAAATTTTGCTACTCACTTACAGAATACCACAAAAAATGAAGAGTCCTGGCGAGTTGCAGACACTTTTCAACAGTATGTACATTCCTCTGAAGGTCTCTTATTTTCCAAAACCACGAAATTCTGTAGAAATACTGTGTCCTGAATAGTTAAAGATATGGTTAAGGGAGCTGAATCTTTATCCATATTCAAAGCTCAGCCATGAAATTGTGTTACTTCCTTCTCTTTGAAATCAATTTACAAAAAAAGTACTGAAGCTGTCCCCTCACTTTCTGTGCTGATCTGGAGAAAACCCCCTAAAGAATAAGCCTGCATTACAAGGGAGACTTTTTATCTACGGGTTTTATTTTAATTTAGAAGGAAAACGAAAAGTTTGCCGTTCCCGGGGTCTCTCTGGCTTCACAACGCGGGATTAAACACATCTTTTCTCTCTCATCCGGGGTCCCAACAGCAAGAAACTCCCCCGAATGAAAGTCCACCCTCTTGTCTTCACTCCCCGAAGAAACTGGGGTGATTTCGCGGCACGAATTTTGCAAAAAAGATGAATTTATAACTCCGAAGAAACACAGACTCGGAGGACGAAAAGCTCTTCCTGGCTAACAGTTAGGCGGGCTCTGCAAAGCACCAATCACAGATCACCGCTTCGCTATAAATTCAGGCATCGGGGTTACTGTAGCCCAATTACTTTCTTTTGATTAGGAAGAAGTCTCTGCAGCGATGTCGGAGACCGCTCCCGCCGCCGCTC